CCCCAAAACCCCAAAACCCCAAAACCCCAAAACCCCTAGAATCATTGCAGGAATAGAAAATTGTGATTAAATTATTTCATTTGATCTAGCATTGCCAGTTTGGCCTGGATAGCGTCAATCAACATATCATTAACTTCATTATTTTTATACTCATATTTGAATTGGTCAGCGGGACCGCCAACTGAATTGATAAGCCTCTCTTGTCGCAGAGCTTTCTCTTCAAGAACCTTTACATTCTCCTGGATCAGGTCCATCTTCTCTTCCTTGGATAACTTCTTATTTTGCAGATAGGCCTTCCAATTATGCACTTGAGGGTCGAACTTAGAGCTTTTGTTACTAAGGTTAGGACTAGATTTTGTATGATCTCTGTTAAGATTACTCCTGGCCATTTCTTGTCTCTTCATCCTGCTTTCTTTTAAGTAGTCGTATAAAGGAGGCTTCGAATTAGAAGCTGATTGACTAAGAGAATTCAAATTTCCTTCCAGGTTACTTGCTTTCATTTTTGATCTAATTCTTGATTTTTTATTAGAACTGGTTTTAGGAATACAATGAATATAGTTCTCATGTTTTGGCTTCTCTTCAAACTTTGGTGTTAGCTTAAGCTTCCGTTTCCTTGATTCAAGTTCTTTCCTAACCTTCTTCACAGCTTTCTTCTTCTCCTTTGACCAGTATATTTCCTGTACTATTTTTAAGAGAATCGGTTCGCCTTTTCTCGCTTCTCTTTAGCTTCTTCCTCTTTAAATTTCATCAAAGCTTTATGCTCTCTTTCTTCCTCAATGGCACTCTTGAGAAATTTGGAACTTAAACTAGAAGTACTCTCTCTTTTCTGAGGAATTGAGAATGTAGATTTCCCTCCCTGCATTCTTCTGTTACGGAGGACTGTGACATTACTCTCAACAGTGTCATCATGCATCCTTGCGTGCCTTCGGATTTCAGAAATTGAAATCCTTTTATAAATATCTTTACGGTTATTTAGTTCAGTTATTCTTTTTCTATTCTCTTCTTCCTCTTTTTGTTTCTGGAATTGCATTTCCTTCTGTAAATATAATGGGATTCTTGAAGGTTTATGGCTCCAATCCCTCATCTTGGTTTTTGCTTTCTTCCTCTCTTCCTTCAATTTAGTGACCCTTGCTAGAGCTATAAGCTAGATCTTACCAATAATCTGCTGACGCTTCTCAAACCGCTGCTTTTGTTTCTCCTGCTCTTGTCTTTCTCTTTGACGAATAATTTCCTTCAATTCTTTGTGATGTTTCTTATCTCTCAGACGAATAATTTTGTGCTTCCGCTTTTCACGCTTTTCTTTTTCTTTGTTAAGTTTATTCACAAATTCTTCAGCTTCTTTCTTGAACTCTTCTTCCTCAATAAAGGCTTTCTCCTTCTCTTTCCTTTTAAGGCTCAGAGCAGTCCTGTTCTTCTTTATAGACATCAGATTTGGCCGAAGAGAAGCAGGAAGATGCCCAGCTGCACTACTGTAAGTAGATTCTTGATATAGCCGATCGTGGACCGGCTGATTACTAATCTCCATAATCTTGTCTATCCGGCTTTGTTTCTTCCTTTCTGAATATACAGGTGATAATTTTCTAGAAGAATCTATAAAGTCATAGGTGAAACTCACATTGTTGAACCGGGTTCAGGCTCATTCCCATAAATTTCTTTCCTTTGCTTAGGTTTTTATAAAGTAAGTAGTTCTCTATGTTGTATCCTATCTCGAGTGGATGACAATTAGAAATATCTTGGTCATTTCTATTCATACTAGTTCTTGTCCCGAAATAGCTACTTTGAGGTTTCAGCTTAGAGATACTTTCTAAGTCAATAGGTCTAGGGTTGTCGAAGTCATATCCTCCGTGGTTAATTATTTTCTGGACTTGTTTATACTGTGATTTATATGTAATCTCTTCAGCTATCTCCAGTCCAGGGCTTTGAGGTAGCATCTGTTGTAAATACTCTACTTTCTTATTCTTGTATGGCACAAGCGCAGTGATCATCTGTGGGTTGACTTTAGGATTAAATGAATACAAAAATCCCTTCGCATCACCACCTCCTCTTTGGTGATCAATGGCTCCACTAGAGCTTTTTGCTCTTTTCTTCTTATCAGAAGGAGTGATTTCTTCTTTTTCATCTATTCATTCAAACTCATTTTCTGAAGATACTTTGTGGCTAATAGACTCTGAATGGTGTAGCATATTCTTTCCAAATTCACCCATCCTAGAATTATAAATACTAAAACATGTACTTCAGAGTCTTAGTAGTCTTTGGCATCTTAAATTGGTGAACATTCATTATTTTATTAGGAGCTATTGTTTTCTGCAACAAAATAGCTCATTTCTTTTTCTCCTTTCGTTTTACCTAAAATTTTATCAGAAATTCTATGATAAAAAACTGTGAATGATCTTACTTTAGAACCAGACTTGGTAGGCTGTTCTTGCTTATTTGAGAGAGTCTTCAAGAGAGTAGAATTCATCATTTTCTTCCTCCTCCCCTTCTTGGCTTAGCCTCATACTTTCAGACTCTGACTCTGCAGAGAAAGCTCATTCATCATATAGATCATCAAGGAATGCTTTAACCTCCTATATAATCCTTTAGAATTTTAACAATTTTTGTGATTGGAACTTTAAGTATATTTCTATCATCTTTTTGTGAAAAAATATATCAAAATTTATCTTCACTTTGCCTTCCTTCTATAATGGCGGGCAGCTGACTGATGAGTTGCGATACTAGGATTGGACCCTTGTCTTACCATTTTGTAAAATTTTATTGTGATTCAATAATAACAATTTTAAAAGGGGTTTTGGGGTTTTGGGGTTTTGGGGTTTTGGGG